TTCTTTTTATAATCATATCATATTAGCTAACTGTTTGACTAAAAAGAAAAAGTGGGGACTGGGAAGTAGGAATCTTGCAGATATTAAAATAAGAATTTAGGGAAAAACACATTCAAACACTGTTGGAGTGAATGTAAATTGGTACAATTGGACATATCTATGAATAATAAAAATGCACAAACCCTTTGACCTGACAATTTCACTCAAAACAATTATCCCACAAATATACTTAAACAAATACAAAGAGATTAGCCACAAGAAATATTCTATATGGTATCGTTTATACCACAAACAAAATTTAAAACAAACGAAACTTAAAACAATCTAAATGTCCATCACTAGGGTGGTGGCTAATTAAATTATGATGTAATCATACAATGGAATTTTATGTAGCCATTAAAAAGAATGAGGTAGCTCTGCTTGTATTGATATAAAAAGCTCTCCAAGACTGATATTATCAGGTATTTATAAGTATACAACAGTGTTACAGTACGCTCCCATTGGTTTCTTGACAAAGATATGTGTGTATATGTAAGTAGATATATAAATGTACACATATACCATAGACATACAGACAAGTCATATGTACATAAAAATTTTCTGAAGAATATATAAAAAATTGTTGATGATTGTTTTTTCTGCAGTTATTTCTTCAGGAAAGTCAGTTTTCATTATTTACTGTACTATACAACCTGAATATTTTATCACGAGTATGTGTTTTCTTTGTCATAATAACATCAGTTCTTCAGAGAACTGCTAGTAGCAGCTAAGAACCTAAAATTCCAGTTATATAAGGACATGAATGTAAATCCATTGAAATGTCTTTGCCTTCTAAGAGCCTTTGCAAAACTAAATTCAAAATAAGTCTTCTTTTCTAGAACTGTAAGAAAATCAAAACATTAATTATAATGTATCTTGACTCATTTTTCTTCATGCTGGATTCCAGTCACTTATAAAGTATGGAGGCCTGTGCAATCAACTTCATTTTGTAATTCCTGAGACGTCTTCACCTTGTTTGTAGTATCATAGAGTGGATTATTCTTCTCTGTGTAGCTAGCATAGGGCTGCATTTCATCCTAAGAAAGAACGCAAATTCAAATTCAGTTCAAAAAATTATTATAGAAACTACTTTCATTTTTCTAACAGGTGCCCAAGAGTGCTTATATTTGTGTCCCTCAGCTTGTACAAACACAAGAGCAAGGCTTTATTCTAATATTTTATCAAAAAACTATTTGTTGATTACTTAAGTCTGAGTAAGATGATGGTTGGGTAAAAGTAGAAACGGAGATGAATGTAGTGATATGAAAAGAATTTCAGACGAAAGAGTTGAAGATTTAGTAAGCTGCTGGTGATAAGAGATTAAGGAGCAGGATATGTTTTAAGCTTCAGTAAGAGGGAAATGATGACGGTATTGAAAAAGGGAAGTCAGCAATTAGAGATGCTTTCATGTGAGAGGAAACACCAATTCAGTTTTTCCCAACATTACAGTCTTAGGGTGATATATAAACAGTACTTCGTAGATAATAAACAAAATAATTACACCTACTAGCATTGTAGAATCAGACTTGTTGTAGTTTTTCAACTGAAACATTAATATTGATACAAATTACAAATCGTGCCGCTAGATTTTGAAGGTATGTGGCTTAAAAGTTTGTAAATATTCCTTTTTATCTTGTCTTACCTCCTCAGCAACTGGAGTAGCTTCTGTTTTATTCAATTTACATTTTCTAGAAAAATAAAATAAGCTGGAGTGAATGGAGAAAGCATCATTGTTGAGATCGAAAATGGAAAAAAAAACATTATACTACTGATAATTGTGGTTCATTTTCATAGAAGCCATAATAAACCAGACAGGGACTACCAGAAATGAGGGAAAAATACTGCTTGTGGTTAATACACCTAAATAAGAAAATTCTGGATTTAGGAAAAGGAAGTAAAACTATGCAATAGGAGCTTGATGCAATATGTGACGCCTCCTCTTTGGTGCATGAAAGGAACATTAATTACTTTCCCAAATAAAATAATTTATCTCCCAAGATCCTGCCCTAAATGGCCTAATTCACCACACACTTGCATTCCTGAGCAGCCCAGCCAAATCCCTCTCACCATGCAAAGTAGTCTAAGTCTAACACTTTCAGGATACTTTTTTGACTATGGGAGATTTGATGTTAACATCCTAATTGCCCAATCAGTCAATTCCTTATTTCTGACTCTTTTGTAGCCCAAGAAAGCTGAAGAAGAAAAAATATTCATCAGTCAATACCTGCAGGCACTGAATTTCAAAAACCAAATGGATCCCACGATGATCAAAATAAGAATAGGAAGGATGATATATAGAATATATGATTTTTCTGAATGTTTGGCACCTATAGACACAAAAGTATATGGTTCAAATGTGGTACATTCAGACAATGTACTATTATTCAGTGCTAAAAAAGAAATGAACTATCAAGACATGAAAAGACATGGAGGACTCTCAAATGTATATTACGAAGGGAAACATGCCAACCTGAGAAGGCAACATACTGTATGATTCCAACTACAAGATATTCTTAAAAGGCAAAATTAGGGAGACAGTAAAAAGATCACTGGTTATAGGGATTAAGGGGAGGGAAGGATGAATAGGCAGAGGGCAGGGTATTGTTAGGACAGCGATACATTCTCTATTAGGCTACACTGGTGGGTAAATATCATTACACGTTTGTCCAAACTCATAGAATGTACAACACCAAGAGTGAACCATAATGTACACTATGGACTTTGGCTGGTAATGTATGCTCATGAGTTCTACTAAATGAAACACTGTGGTGCACAGTGTCCACAGTCAGGAGGTCGTGCATGGGTAGGGGTAGGGGTTATATGAGAACTTTCTGTACTTATCCCTCAATTTTGCTGTGAAGCAAAAACTGACCTAGAAAACAAAATCTATCAAAAATAAAGATTATATACATA